ATTGACCTTGTGACACATTGAACAAAGTATATGCTAGTGAACTCAGCTGATCCCTTGAAGTGAAGGGACAACTGTTTATCATGTGTGCTAAGTTCACATGATGCTTGGGCCTAACAATTAGCTCAAAGCTGCCTCCTTCCCTTTCTCAAGCCCAATTGTGCTGAGAAACTGAATGCCCCCCCTTAGCAATAACAACCCTGACTTTGACCATGAGTTCTTTGAACTCCTCGCATCTATCATCAGAACATTGATCGGTTTATTGGTGATCATCCAGCTGTGCCAGGGATGCCATTCTATTACTGCCTGAGCCCTCAGACACTACTAAGAATTCCAGAATATTCAACATATACTATGAAACATAACCCCTGACCTCCCCCTCTATGACATCCCAGAATCCCAATGAATGACCTACCAGCCCCCAGAAGCCAGGCCTAGTGGCTCACATTCAGGGAATGGTCAAGAAGAAGTGGGAGGATAGTGCCCCTTCTGACCCAGACACCAGCACCCTTGCATCCCAAGAGGACCAAGGATCTTTGTACTGAATGCAGTCCTCCATGGTGAGGATCAGGACCTCTCTGAGGACTTCTTTGAGCAGTCCCCCTCCCTCAATCCTTCTTCTGCCTCCCATACCCATGGGATTGCCAACCATGCCCAGGACTCTCTCGATGCCTCTAGGCTGGCTTGAGGATTCCACACCCCAACATCTGATAACCAGCCTCACTGCACCCTCACTCCCAGCCAGTCCAATGCCAGAGTGAGGAGGAACCCCTAAACTGAAGAAGAATGATGATGAGTATGGGAAGACACTGTTTACTGGTACTTTCCTAGCTGGGACTTCACTATCCTCTTCAACTATGATGATGCCATCTGGCAGGAAGAGCACAGGCAGTGGAATGAGCCACAGCCAGTATGTGGCAAGTGTGAGGACCAACATACAGTGGAGGAGCAGCAGAAGAGGGTGGCCACCAAGTATGACAAGCAGAACAGGGACTGCCAGCAGGAAACAGAAAGAGACTGATTGGCTTGAGCTAACATCTCAAACTGGTATGGATTATAACCTGAGATCGCCAGTGTACTCGCACCAGTATGAGCCAACTCCTCCCTCTCAATCCCCATCTTCAGAGAGCCAGGCTCCACTCATAGCGGAACCCTGGAATATTGGGTGGATGGCACCCAAGCCAGAAGAAATCAATGACCTCTGTCCCTCCAGTACCCCTCCTCTTGAAGAACACCCAGCACTGACACTGAGTTCAGCAGTGATGAGTCCATCCTCAGACATTATGGACTTTGGGTCCCAGGAAATGCCCACATCCCCACCCA